TTCTGCCTGTTCCTGCTTCCCCCTTCCCCCTCTCTTCCTCCTTCCTCGTCATCATATCATGCGGACATGGCGGGGTAGACGACGATGATGATGACGACGAATATGAGCATGATGATGATGATGATGATGATGATGATGATGATGATGATGATGATGATGATGATGATGATGATGATGATGATGATGGTGGCGCTGAGGATGACGGCGCATCGAAGGCGCGATATCATGCCGGCCCAATATCTTAGATACCTCTGACTGGGGGCCTCGCGGCAGCCATTGCCTTTGGCTATTGCAAACCCTATGTAAATAAAACTTCGACATCATTCGTGCGAGCCGCTCGCCCCGGTGTTTTGAACAGGCCCCAGGAATAGCCTGACCCGCGAGCACGATTGCAAAAGAAACCCAAGCAGGTGCCCCTGCGCTAGCAGCACACTTCACATCTCGAGCGTGATCGCCACCCTCAATGCCATGCGTTTCGCGGTGGTCGTGCGAAGCCGTGTTTTTCCAACGTTCAAGCGATAAGGTCGTTTTGGGCTTTTCATCGCGCGGCAAAGCGGCTTCTTCAGTTCGAGCGAGAAGCTCGCTTGAGCCTTCGCATGGCCATGTTGACCTTTCGTGGGATGCAGGCCTTGGCAACATCCTGTGCGCTGAAGAGCTTCAAGGCTGGGCCTTCGGGGGGCCTCCTGGGGTTGGCCTCCCGGGCCTTCGCGGGGCCCTTTTTAGGCCCTTTTAGGTCGCGCAGAAACGCCCCCCCCGCCCCCCCGCGGGCTCCGCAAGCTTACCTAACATTTTTATGTAGCGGTGATGTTGTGTATGATCGTAATGGCAACGGTACGAAGTTTATGTATGTGTACATATACATGTATACTCATACATAATCATACTGAATGGAAGCGTGATCGTCATGTGCCACCCCTTTTGGGCAGCCGCGATGGGGGGCCTGCAGCACGGGGGGCCAACGGCCCCAATGCAAGTCGGCGGGGGGAAGCGCGATATGGGGAAGGGTTTCGACAACGGGGGTCCGTAGGTAGCATCGTTCGAGCGTGGATCGCGAGCGCACTTGGGCTGTCCTGCTTCGCGCGAGGGGGCATGAGAGCGAGCGCAGACGACTTTAGCGACGACGATGCTGGCGGCGACGACGCCGAAGACGACGGTTCCGACGGAGACTTCGAGGACGACGTTTGCGACGACGACGACGACGACGACGACGACTCCGACTCCGACGGCGGTGACTCCGACGACGATTTCAGCGAACGACGACTCCGACGGCTATTCCGGCTCCGACCACGGCGGCGACAACTCCGATGAATTCGACTCCGCCCCCGGCAAGGACAGCGACTTTGGCGACGACGTAGTCGACGACGACTGCGACGACGGCGGCGACGCCGACGACGATGCCGACGGCTCCGGCGTCGACTCCAACGACGACGGTGATGGCGACGACTTCAACGATTCCGATTCCAATTTCGATTCCGACGGCAACGAATTCGACGACGACAACGACGAGTCCGCCGAGGAGTCCGTCTCCGATTCCGATGATCCCGACGACATGTCCGAGGGCTTCTTCGATAACGACGACAACGCCGTTGACGACGAATACATCGATATTCAGAAACCTCCGACTCCAACGACACCTTCGGCGACGGCAACGACGATTGCGACGACTTTGGTGACGATGACGATGACGACGAAAACTCTGATGATGGCCCCGACGATCTTGGCGACGGCTCAAAAATCATCCCAACGTCTCCGACTCCGAGGGCGACGACTTCTTCGGTAATTTCGCAGACGACTGCGACGATGATTTCGCGGGCGACACCTTCGTCGACAGCAACGACGTCGAGGACACCGACGAATTACTCCGATGACCACGAAGACGACTCCGACGAGTGGCCGCCAGAGGCGTCGTCGTTGGTCGTTTTCGTCGTTGTCGTCGACGTCGTCGTCGTTGTCGGCGTCGTCGTGTTCGCCAGAATCGGAGTCGGAGTCGTATGAGCCGTCCGAGGCATTCGAGTCCTAGTCGCCCTCGTCAATGGGTTCGCCCGATTCGTCCCCATTGCCCTGGAGTCGCGGTCGTCGTCGTGGTCGCGTTTGCCGGTGTCGTCGTCTTCGAGTTGGAGTCGTCTTGGCATGAGAACCAGAGCCGTCGTCGTCGGAGCCGTAGTCGTAGTCGTCGTCGGAGTGTTGTGAATAATCGAGGTCACGTCGCCATCCTGCGTCGTCAAATCAAGAATCGTCGGAATCGCTGTCGTCGTCGGAGCCGTCGCCGAAGTCGTCCTCGGAGTCGTCGTCGGCGGCGAGGTCACCATCATGGTTGGATTCGTCGACGTCATCCGCGGAGTCGTCTGCATCGTCAGCGGCGAAGTCGCCATCGTGGTCGGAATCGAAGTCGTCGTCGGAGTCGTGATCGGAGTCGTCGTCGGAGTCGTCTTCCCTGCCAGAGTCGGAGTCAAAACCATCGAAGTCGTCGTTGCCATCGGAGCGGGAACCGTCGGAGCTGTCATCGATGTCGTCGAAGCCGGAGTCGTCGGAGTCGTCGCCGTCGCAGTCGAAATCGGAGCCTTCGGCGGAGACCTCGGAGTCGTCGATGGAATCGTTCGTCGCCGCCGCCGTCGGAGTCGCCATCCTTAGTGTGGGGGCGCCCGCGTGCGGGCCCCACGCCAATTCGGCGCAATCGTTGCGAGGATCATGCCCTACACAGTCAACCCGCATAGCAAGGATGGGCAACCTTCCCAAGGGTACCCTTGCATCCTTGCCTCCTCGGTCTATCCTTAGCCGCTTTGGCTGGCCAACCTCGTTCGAAAAACGTTCGCGTGGCACTCCAAGGCCCCTGCATCCCTACCGCGCATCCTTTATACGGGTTGACTGCATGAAACTCTGGCTAAGGCCCCGGCGCTGACATCTACATCCGAGTGCACGCCGTCGAGGTCGTCGTCGTCGTGGAGAGCCCCAGAAGACGGCCCCCATAGTAAACGTCGCCATGGCAAATACTGGCATGGTGGTGGTGATGAGGATGATGACGATGATGGTGATGGTGGTGATGATGGTGAGGAGGAGGAGGAGGAGGACCAGTGCCAACCAAAGATACATCAATACTGCTTCAAAAGTGCTGATGATGCTGTTGATGATGATTGTGATGATGACGATGGTGGTGATGGTGGTAATGATGATGATGGTGATTGTGACGAGGCTGATGCTGATGATGGTGTTGCTGCTGCTGCTGATGCTGCTGATGATGATCGTGGAGATGATGATGGTGATGGTGATGGTGATTGTGATGATGATGGTGATGGTGACGGTGGTGATGAGGAGGAGGGCCAGTGCGAACCCAAGACACATCAACGATGCTGCAATACGCCCTCTCTCAACGCTCCATCTTCGCAAAGAATTTGCGTTCATTTTGGAAGTGGCTTGTTCGAAGACAACCTTTGGGACTTCCCAATCGTACCAGAAAGCTGTTCTTGGTATTCCATCACCGCGGAACAACGCAACTGCTGCGTCCTGACATTCCTAAAACGCACCAGCACACAGTTCCAGGGACTTCAGCACTGCGAATCAAAATTATGGTTGCGTCCTGTAATCGCACCAGAACGCAATTCCTGGCACGACGACCAAAGAAATCTTTGAAACCGTCGCAGACTTTTAGAACGAATGTGCGCGGCGTGCAGCGAGAACCGCATTTTGACAGCAACCCGCCCTTAATCTGTGAAAGTGTTGCACAATGTTAGGACGAAGTTGCGCGGCGCTGGTGCGAGAGCCACATGTTCGAACGATCCACCTTCCATCCGCAAAGCTGGTGCAAACTTTTAAGTCGAATGCGCGCGTCGCTAGGGCGAAAGCCACATTTTGGAAACGATCCGGCATCCATCCTTCGAACCCTTGCAAACTTTTAAGCCGAATGTGCTCGGCGCTAAGGAGAGAGCCACATTTTGAAAACGACGCGTCATCCATCCGTAAAACTGCTGCAAAGTTTTACGACGAAAGTGCGCGGCGCTAAGGCGAGAACCACATGTTGAAAAAACTCGCCTCCATCCGTGCAACTGTAGCACATGTCAAGCTTCAGGGTCCAGGGGTGCGACAGGGATGGTGGAGGAGAACAAGAGGAGGAGGAGGAGGAAGAGGAGGAGGAGGAGGAGAAGGAGGAGGGGTGATCTGGGTTGACATGGGGGTGGGGAGTGTGGGCAGGGATGGCTGTAGGGATAGGGGGCAAAGTGGGGAAGGAAAGGGGAGCAGAGCTGAGCGTGGCGTTGGGGGCGTTGACGGGGAGGAGCAGCTAGAGGAGGAGGAGGAGGAGGAGGAGGAGGAGGAGGATAAGGACAAGGAATGACAAGAGGAGGAGGAGGAGGAGGAGGAGGAGGAGGAGGAGGAGGAGGAGGACGGCGACAACGAGGAAGGAGAAGAAGAGGAGCCGTTCGAGCTTACACTGTTTACCTGTCCAGCTCTTGTTCACTACAGATCTCACCCTTCGCCTCCTTCGCGGTGTTGCCCTGACCTTGCTCCCGCCGCTCCACTGGCGTACCGTCGTCCCCTCTGTCCTGTCCTCCCTCCTCCTGCTCCGCATCGTCCTGCCCCTCATCCTCCCCCCTCGCCCCCTCCAACCTCGTCATCCTCATCGCCATTGTCGTCCGCCTCTTTCTCCAGTGAGGACGACGAGGAGTTTGCAGGAATGAGAGGAAGGACGACGAGGAGGAGTGGGACGGCAAGGACGAGGGATGAGGAAGACGTGGAGGGCGAGGGAGAGGCTGGGGGAGGAGGGAAGGCGGGCGGGATGAGGAGGCGGAGGAGGAGGAGGAGGCCGGAGGATGGAGGAGGAGGAGGAGGAGGAAGAGGAGGAGGAGGAGGAAACATGAAAAAGAAGAGCGGGGAGGAGGAGGAGGAGGAGGAGGAGGAGGAGGAGGAGGAGGAGGAAGAGGAGGAGGACGAAGAGGGAAGGGCGAGGACCAACTCCTCCCTCCCCTCCCCCTCCTCACCACGCGCCCGCGACAGACGCCCCGTGCAAGGCGTGGTGATGGCCTCCTACTCCCCCGAAGACGAGGAGGCCGCGGGCACGGGCGTCATGGAGGCGCCCGCCCCGGGACCCCCGCCTGGCCAGGAGAGGAAAGGAGCCCGGGGCGTACAGAATGGTGCGGTGCCCACTCTGTGTGTGCATCCCGTCTTGAACGAGAACACGACGTCGCAATGGTGCAGGCGGTCTTTTTGGAAGACCGCGCCACCTGGGGCCGAGACCCCCATTCCACCTCCGCCGCATCCTTTTTCTCCTCCTCGCCCTCGCCCTCCTCGCTCTCCCCTGCTTCCTCCTCGCTCATCGCCCTCGTCTTCCCCTACCTGCTTCCTCCGCCTCGTCCTCATGCCCCCTTACCCTCGAGCCAGTGGAGATTCGGGGTGGCCGCACGGTTGGGGATGTCGAGGTCACTGGTTCTTGGGGTTGCCACGGTCGGCTCTTTTTTTGGGGGGGGTCCAGCACGTTTTCTTCATCGCCACTGGCGGGGTTCGCTGTGAAATTGCCGCCAAAACATAAACCAGGAAAGGAACATCGGCCCTCGACCACCACCTCCTCGCGTCTCTCTGGGAATGACTCCCACCGGGGGGGGGGGGACGAAGATTCCGAAGTTTCGGGGATTGTTGGAGGCTATCGCCTGAGAATGCTTTCCTGCAGCTGCGCCTCGCCGAGAGCGTTCTGGGGTTGCCCAAATCGTTCCGAACGGCTGCTGGGGGCCAGGCTACGGCCCGAAAACCACCCAGGCCTCTTCGCGTCGTTCCAACCCCCAAAAATTAGTAGAGGGAGGGATGTCAGCCCAAAGTGGGGTCACCGTAGCGAGCCCAACCTTGGGCAGATATTTCTTTCCCCCAGGGGCCGACCAGGGCGATGTTCCTCTTACCCCACGTCTGGCCCTGCCCCTACCCTCACGTCCCTCCGAGGAGGAGGAGGAGGAGGAGGAGGAAGCCGCTGCCTCTCGGGGGGACCCTCTCCGCCCAGCCCCGCCAGAAGGGGCGGGGGGATCCCAGGAGAGCGGGCGGCTGTGCGGGGCGCCTGGCCGCCCTGTCGCGCCGTGGCGGCCGTGGAGCACCCGCCAGTGCACGAGCACAGCAGGCACCGCGACACGAGCAACACGAGCAGCGAGAATCCTACTGGCCCTCGGGAGCCGAGAGCCTTCCGGGCAGCCATCGCCCGGCCGGGCCTCGCCGCCCGCAGAGGCGCGGCGTGCCGGGGGCGTGACACATCGCCGCCTGGATGAGCGTGCCCCACCAGCACAGCCAGAAGGCCGACCAGACGAAGTACAGTCGGGGCCTTGAAGAAGGAACCCTTTTCGTTGGGGAGGGGCTCCGTGTTCCTTCATTGTGTCGCAGCTTGCCTTGGATTTTCCTTAGGTTTTCGGTGCGAAATCGAAGTTCAACTTATGGAAAATAGGGGCCTCGTTCCTTATTTAGGGTTCCTTGGGTCAACACCTCGACTCTACATCGTCATCAAAGTCGAGAGGACCGACTTTGCCATGGCCGGGCCCCACGGCTTCTGGCCACAGACGCCGGCCCCAGCCGCGCGACGACCACGAGACCCTTCTGCTGCCGCCTGTCGTCCCGGCGTGCGACTACGGCGCCTGCTGTGCCACGACCCCCGACGACCCCCTGCCCCCACGGCCCCCTGCCCGACGACCCCCACGAAGGCCCCTGCGACCTCCTGCCCTACCTGACGGCCCCCCGCGACGCCCCACCCAACGGCCCCCACGAAGGCAGAGCCCCGAGTGGCCGCACGCCCTGAGAGGGAGCCCGTGGGGGGCATACCCGGGGAAGCGGCCATGTGGCCGCTATCCAGCCCAAAGCTGGCGCCTCCTCCGCGGCCGGCTCGACATCCCGAGTGGCCGCATGCGCTGAGATAAGGAGCCTTTGGGGATCATGCCCAGGGAAGCGGTCACAGGGACAGCCGAAGACACACCCTGGAGCCCCCTATCTACGTGACCCTCTCGACTAACCCACGACTCCCCCACCCCACGAAGGCCACGCGGCGGCCCTCTCGACGGCCACCCGACGCGGCCTCCACGACGGACCCCGCGACAGACCGTACGACAGCTCCACCCGGCGGCTCCCGCAACGGCCCCGCCGCGACGGCGACGAAGACGACGACCGCGACGATGGTGACCACGACCACGATGACTCTTCGACCGCCAGGACGGGCACCAGGGCAGATTGACCGACGCCCCTCCCGACGCCACTCCCGATTCCTTTCTCACGGCTTTCCTCGACGCCGAGAGCGACGCCTCGCCCCGCTCCCTACCCGACGCTGCACCCGACAGCCAGGATGACGGCGATGAGGGCGACGACGCTCCCTCCCCCACGACCCCTCGCCCCGACGGCCCCCACGACGACCCCCCACCTGAACCGGCGATCCCCCACCCCACGACGCCCACGACGCTTACCTGCGACCGCCCAACGCGCTCGTACGACTCCTCGTCACGACAACCCGATACCCTGCCCGACTCTCCACCCGACGCCTTGCCCAACGTCCAGCCCCACGCCCCACCCCACTCTCTATCCGACGTCTCGCAGCACGGCCTCCCCACGCCCGGCTCCCTACTATTGGACCTACCTCGGCCACGCGGCCAGCGCCGCCCACACGGACGGCTGGACGGCCCGCAAGGACGCCCTTCCGACCCACCCCGAGCTTGCCCCGACGGACGACCCAGGGCCTTTCCCAACGACGCTGCCGAACACGACAACGACAACGACGATCCGACGCCCCTCCCCACGACGACGCGCCTCCCCACCGCGACGCCCCTCCCCACGAACGCCCTTCCCCTCGCGCTACCCTCACACGACGGCTTACCATGACGATCCAACGTCCTGCCCTGCTCCCAGCCCTGCGCCCCGCCACCTCCCCACCTGACGCCTCGCCCGACGGACACCCCACGCCCGACGCCCTGCCCGCTGCACCACCCGATCCTCCACCCCAGCCCGACCGACCCAACGCTCGATTCCTGCTCCGCGATGCCCGAACCCCCGACGCCCTACCCCGCGCCCCACCCCACGCCCCCAAGTGGATGACATCCTCCCTGTGGGACCTCTAGGCCCGCTGGGCCCACTGCGTCGGCGCCATCGCTATCACCGCTGCCAGCACTCACATCAACGACTTCGCCTGCACCAGCGCCATCGACGTCCAAATCCAGCATCTTCACGACGAACGCCGACGGGTCAATATTGCCCAACAGCAGCAGCACCAGAATTCTCGCAAGATGGAAGCGGAGCTCCAGGGTCCGGACCACTTAGCGGCCGACCTGACGCGCACGACCCCACTCCTGACGCCCCACCCGACTCCTCCTTCCGAAGCTCCTCCCGACCCTTCCCCACGTCGGACGCGCTCCACCGACGCCCTGCCTGGCGCCCACACCCCCGACGACGACGGGCCTCCCGACAGCAGGCCCATCTGGCGCGTGCGATGCGCCGTTGCGCCATAGACTGCACCAGCCACCGCAGGGATGGATAGCTACCGAGGGCGCGGAACATGTGCACCCTGCAGCGACGACCCCAGCCTAATGTGCCCTACTATTCGGTCAACTCTGATCCCTCCTTCCCTTCCCCCCCGCCGCATGGGCAGCCGGCCCGAAGCACTGGCCGGGTCCATTCTTGGATCGCCACTTTGACGCACCGCTGCGAAGACCTCCCATTCCCCACGCACTCGACGACCTCCCCACGACCGCCCATTCCATGCCACTGTCGCCGACGGTAGCACCTCCTGGGAGCGCCAACGTCCGCAATGACGGCTACTCCGTGTATACCCGGACGCCAGCGTCGTCGACACGACCCTGAGGGGGTGGCACCCGCCCAGGAGAGGAGGGCGAGGGCAATTTGGAGAGGTGGAGCTCGGGGGAGAAGAAGGCGTCTCACGGGCGCCAGCTTTAGTCAAGCAGCGGCGAAGCGTCCTGGCTCGCCTATAGCCCCACCAAACAATGTTCTAAGAACCTTTTGTGGTTCCCACGAAATGTTCCTAGAACATTTCTGGCTGGATGTTCTAAGAACATTGTTTTTGTTCTTATATCATTTTGGGGTTCTAAGAACATTTCGTGGTAGGACTATAGAAATGCCGGGACGGTCGGTCCCTGCTCAACCCCCCTTCTCGTCCCCCGCCCCCTGCCGTCCTGCCCTCCTCCCTTCCCCCCCTCCCCCCGCTCTCCTCTGTGGGTGCCGTGTGGGCCTCTCCACGCGGCAGCTCAGGAAAGCTCGCATGGCGCTGCCACGCCCGCTCTCGGGCGTGCTGTGGCGGCGCCTGCTGGCATTTGGGGTGCCCAAGTGCCAAGCCGGCTTTACCGCGGTATCCATGCGTGTGAACTTGAGCGCGAGTGAATCTGAGCGTGGGTGACCTGGGCGTGAGCAAGTCGGAGTTGACGTGGGTCCGGGTATGATTGAACCTGAGTGTGAGCGAATCTGGATGTAGCAAGTCTGAGTGTGAACGTGTCTGAGTATGAGTGAGTTTGAGAGCGAGCGAGTCTAAGTTCGAGTGGGTGGGAGTGTGGGTGCGTCTGGGTGTGCGTGAGCCTGAATTTGAGTGTGATGAAAACAAATTTGAGTGGCGGGCGTTCAATAGCGTGCAGCGGTCTGTTTTCTTGGACGAGGTCGGCAGGCACATGCCAGGTGTTACGGTGGCCCATCGGACCTGCTGTTTGGCAGCCACGTGCTGACGTCCAGCAGGGGAGTCCAGCAGGGCGACGCCCTTGGACCTCTCCTGTTCTCGTTGACTGTTCATCCTCTCTTGCAGGAGCTGAAGACCGATGCTGGGTTGGACATAGTATGCGGCTACCTCGACGACTTTTGCGTGGCGGGCGAGTTCGGCGCGACGCTGCGGGCGTTGCGGCTGATTCAGCGGAAAGCAGCCAGCCTGGGCCTTGAGCTGAACTTGGACAAGTGCGAGGTAATCCCCACGGCTGGGCGCAATACGGAGTGCAACCTGTCCGAGTTCCCCGCAAGTGTCCAGCGGAGAATCGACGGTTGCTTCAAATTGCTCGGCGCCCCTGTCGGTGGCCAAGAGCATTGCGCAGAGTACGTGAAGGTGAAGAGAGTGCAGAAGCTGACCGC